CCCCAAAACCCCAAAACCCCAAAACCCCAAAACCCCAGGTTATTCAGTTAAGATTGGATATAAGCAAATTAAGCAAATTTTCCTTTGTACTCTTCCTTGAATTTTACACCAGATTGCTGGCAAACTGAGCTTTCCTATAGGGTGTCAAAGATATTCGAAGAGCCAAAATAGTATCAGGAAATGCGAAAGATTTGAGTGTGGCAACTAAGAATTTAGCATGGAATGAAGTTACCAAGAACTATTGAATATCTATTCAAATCATAAAAAGTTGGTCGAATAAGAATAATTCTTACTCTTTGGTTGAAATTTTGAGGTGTTTTAATCTGTGGAGCAAGTTTTTGAAGTTTACTCCTTGTTCTTGCTCTTCATTTCTTACACAAAATAAAGACTAATACAATCAAGTTGATTCAGACTCCCAACATTGGGCTCAAAAGCAACATTTGAATGAACATGCTTTCTTTGCTAGTTGACCAGTCTTGCTCAAATTTCAGAAATATTAAAGTTGTAACTGCAAAAATAAAGTTGACCTGGTTCAGGGATTCAATAAGGTTGTTTACAGCTGAATCATATGGCCTCACTGAGATCAGAAATGCTAATAAAGCAATGTGAAGAGCCAAGAAGAGGCTGAGCTTGATATAGTACACAAAGTTGACACCATCTACTTGGCCATCCGAGCGCTCGATATCAGTATTTTGAAATCCAACAAGAATGATCACAGATAGGAGTCTTATAACAACAAAACACAAACTATTAGCCTTGGGCCACTTCTTGGCTTTGATTCCTGAGTACAACTCTGCAGTCATCCAGTGGCTGGAGAATTCAGAGTGCATGTTCCTCCTAAAATTATGAGCTAGGACTTACAGACTGTAAATGTAGGATAACATAATGAGGATGATGAAGACCGACATGCAAAGAGCAAATGCAAAGCAGAACACGAGAGATACCAGGGCTACAGTTGAATTAAACTTGAAGATCTTGAACTCGTGGGCAGTCGACATGAACTGGAACAAGGAATTCTCCATGAAAAGTCTGATGTAGAAGCTGAACGTCATGTATCTAAATATCTTTGACATTATGATTCGACATTTGTTTTTCTCATCTTTATTTTGTAAAAGTGTTTGGAATACCAAGATAAGCAAATGAAAAGCTCCGATCATTAATAGAAACACCATCATAGGCAAATAGTTTACAATTGAGCTGCTTGAGGTCAGTCCGACTTCTCCTAAATAATAGTCACCTTGAGGGTAGTCAACCAAGTCCTGTATTTTTTTGACAAGTGGGATATCTTCTATCGGAATGAAATCAAAAGAAATAAACGTAAAGTCTACTCCCAGAATAAACTGGGTGACTTTGGATGGGAAATATGGAGGAAGCAATGGAAGCAGAATGTACAGCTGAAACTGGTTAATCAAGCTGAACATTCCAACTGGAGAACTCATGGTTGCTATTGCAGCTAAAAGGGATATACCAACTCAAATCGCAACGACCGATTGACCAATGATAGATTCTGCTTTTGCATCTGCATCTGCATCAGATGTACTAATCTTTTCAACTCATTTATCTTTATCTTTACCTTCACTGAGTTCATGACCAACATCACACTCACTTCATTTGTTAGAGTCTTCAACCTGTCAACTCTTGCAGTTGGCGATTTCTCATTGTTGGACGGTTATGTAAAACTTCTTCTGTTCTGACACGCTTCCATCGTCAATTAAAAGTGCGAATTTGTACAATGTGTTCTGAGACACATTCGGAGTTTTGTTCAGAGTCAGCACTTCATTCTGGGCATCTAGATACACCCAAGATGGCACAGTTTCACCATCAAGAGATTGGAGGCTGAACACAATAGGAGTGGAGCTAGAAGGGTGAGAGCAAGCCCATGTGAACGTCAAGTTTACTTGGATATTAGACGAACACGTTTTTATAAAGTCATCGTTCCAAAGTGAAATTTGATATGTAGATCCAGATGAAGATATGGTAAGAGAAGCAGAAACCACTCCACTAGAACCCAATAATGAAGAAGACAAGACTGTTCGATTTAATAATGCTATTGCTCCTGCATCACTTGCTATAAAATTTGGGGTGATACTAGTAAAAGTGGAAGTTTGAGATATCAAACTTGGAAATTGGGCAAGATTTTCGATAGAATTTTGCATTATTTGGATAACTAAACCTTGTTTTCCGAAAAGAATGGTTCGCACGTGATTATTCATTGAAATGGATGCAGCAGCAACCATTATAGTCGAGCTGTTTCCATACTCTTTATACACAGAGCATGCCAAGGGATCTATAATGCTAATCACTGATCCTGTAGTGACGACTTCAGAGAAGGTCGCTACCACATATCCATTAATTTCATTGATATCTTGAACCCGTGTGGTAATGCTAGTAGATTCCAAACCTGGGCAAATAGCATTGCCAGTCGATGTTTCAAAAGTGTAGTATAGCATTCTACTTGAAAACTCATTAAGAGTGTATACATATTTTCCATCTTTACTGTTCATGGATCTACCTGGTTTAGCTCCTCATGAACCGGATCAAGTAATAACTTTACTCCAATTATAGGTTGGAGGATTTGTAAGATTAGCAGAAAGAAGATATAAGTTGGTTGATCCTGACATAATTATAGAGAAGAAAGCAGTATCTCCAGAAATAGGTGCTACACTAATTTTATCCGAAGATCCATAATCATATCAGTCAACTATTATTGCTCCTCTTGTCCATTTTCATACAGCTTTTGTGCTCCCAGGAGGAAATCTTCCATGGAAATAAATATTTTGAGATGCTGAAGAGTCATACAAGTTATTGGTAATTCCTTGCTCTGTTGTCTTACTAAACGAGGCAATTTGGATAACATTCGAGATAGTCAGATCTATTGTGCTTACTTCTAAGGTAAAGCCCGTACTGTGTAGATGAACATAAATAAAGTCCCCATTGCTTGAGATTATAGGACTTCCACTAGAGAAATCCATGCTATATCCCTGAACTCGGATTACATTCACGTCAAAATCTGTTTTAATAATTTCTGAGTTGATAGTACCTCCAGCATTATATTTGAGAAGGAAATATAGTTCTTCTCTACTAGGGTGGGCTAATACTTCCAATGGGAAATTGAAGGAAAGACCTGATATTGCGATAGAAGTTTGTTTTGGTACTATCGATTGCAGGCTCTGATCACAAACCTTTGCTGAAGCCAAGACCCATAATATAAATGTTACAAGAAACATTTTGATACCTCTTTATTTTCAATAATAAATTTTATTTCTGGGGTTTTGGGGTTTTGGGGTTTTGGGGTTTTGGGG